CCCGTGGTGAACCCCCTGGAAGTCGTGCCGTGCATGGCGGCGAGGGCGACACTGAATGCTCTGCTGCAGGTGTTGCCTCCACACGTTGCCTCGGCTCGCCCTGGTCTGGTCACTGCTGCACGTGTGTTTCTTCTTCTCTCATCGCGCTGCTACTTCCAACTTCTCTCCTCAACTTTCTTCCGGGAACTGCCTCACGCGACTTGACGCATGGTCAGCATTCGCGCTCTCGCCGGGCTCTCCCACCAAGCCCACTCATTAGACGGCGTGCGACAAAAGCGCTAATTGGTCGCGCGTCACACGCCGGCCCAAACCTGCATAGTGCGTGCATAGACGCGCACTCTAGCATGCTCGCTAACTTTCTCTCTCTCTCTCTCTCTCTCTACCTCATAGTCGCTGCGCTCTTGCTTCTTCGGGCGCTCTCAATCTTGCTCGGCAATCTTCGGCGGCTGGAAAAACATAAAGGCCAGTGGTTAGGCGCAATAAATATATGCGCCGAACCTTGACCACGTCGCCATGCCGAGCGATAAGAGGGAGAGAGAGAAGGAGGGCAGACGAGGAGCAAGCGTACTGCTTGCTCTCGTCACATAGGTGCAGATCGTACAATAGATGTATTGTCAGCTAACTGAATTTGAGAATCTTTTTTAAGACATTTTAATGGTTCCGCAGAATTTGTCTGGAGCAATAGTCTAATCATGAGCACATCGTCTTGAACCATCACTGGCTTATAAAATTTATTGTAAACTTTCTTTGAATGTCCCATGTGTTTTAGCACTACGAGTATATCATTTTTTTTCTCACCCTTAATTCAACTCAGCAAATTGTTTACGAAGCAAAGTTCTTCTGATTTTATCATTAATATTTTGATGTTTTGCTACATTCTGAGCTCAGTTTGGTTACTGTTTCGCAGACTTTCAAATGACAATATTGCCCATCTAGTCCTTCAGGTAAATCAAATAAGTAAATATTTTTTTTGGGAAACTCCAAATTTTCTGAGAAGTCGTAGAATTAGTTGAAGGCTTTCGTCATTGTCTTTTGCTATATAAATTGTACCTTTACCATCAATTCTCTGTTCTTCAATTCTGATAGAATTGAATTTCATTCTTTGTTCTTAGTTAGCTGAAGATAATAACTTATAATATCGATTATTTGGATTTTCATATGTTGCAGATGTAAAATCATCTTTTTTAATGTTAGTGATTTCGCTAACTCGTCTACGATTATAACATAAGATTAACACGACAGTGCACTGCATAATATTTAATCAGTTATAATAATCCGTTTTATTATTTCCCATGATTTTAATTTCTTTCATTTATTTTTCTTCGAAATATTTCAAACTTTAATTTCGTTTAATACGAAGAATGTTTTGAAAAGTGAAACCTTCTTCTGGGTAAGTTTTCCTTGCTATTGGTGTTGCCTTGTAACTTCTTTTCACGATAAAAATGCTCTAAAATTTATATCCAAATCAACATCATCTTCAAAATTATTATAAAACAATTTCAAATCTTTTGGAGCTTCACTGTTTTTTTCTGTTGAAAATTTTCTTTTTAATATTTTAATACACTTTCTAATAATCTTCGGTAATGTTTCAGCGTTATAAATTACGGAGAATCTATTAGTTATAACATCTAATTTGTACATATCAAGTATGGTTTTATGCATAATATTCCAACCACCTGTAAACAGTCTAATAAGAGTTTCAAGATTATGATCAATTTCTTGAGCAGCTATCTTTACTTTCGATAATAAACGAATATGTGCCCTAACATACCGTTGTTGATCTATATCACAGTAATGTATAACATATTTGTTTGCATATAAAATACACATTTCATCATAAGAAGCTGATATCCCAATTTCATCCAGTGTCAATTTGGGATGAATAAATTTTTGAGTCTGCTCAGAGGCTTTTGCATGACATAAGCCCATTACATATTTAGATTCAGCAATGATTTCCCTTGTATTTGAGTTTCTTGGTCTTATCCGAATGGTATAATTGAATAGGATTACAAAGATTGTTGGTACAGTATGTTGCAAGACAAGATCATTTTTTATTCTATTTGTATTATAGTATCAGTATTTTCTTTTTCTACCGTTAAAATTGGGAGTGAAACTAAATTTTTCTCATTTCTTTGTTGGCTAATGCAAATACCACTGTCAGAAGTTACACCGTATAATAATTCATCTTCTTGAACGGAAATTGCATCAGCAGCACTATTTTGATCCAAACGTATAGTTTTTTTTTGTAATGCGTTGTCAACGTGCAGATATATGTTTCCCTTGATTGATTTCTACATGTTTATTGAAGTAATCGTTGCCCTTACTTCTAATATTATGAAATTCTCTTCTTCTCTGTATAGACTTAACTGGCATTTTATTGAGTCTTATAACATCGACGTCATTCTTATAATGAATAAGTAAACGCTTATCTAAACGTCATTAAAGCGTTAAACATTTGAAGTAAAATTTTTGTTTAGCATTTGATTTACTATTCTCATTTGATTTTAGAATGTTTTGTTCTGACGGTATGGTTCGACTTTCATCTAACTGTAACTTGTCATGTGTTTTTATTTCACTTCCATTTTTCATCTTTTTTAATGCTTTTTTTTAGACATTTTCTCTATTCTATTTTGCTTTTGAGTTTTCGTATTTTACTTAGATTTTTTGTTAGTTAGATAGTTTGTTAGTTAGATAGTTTTTGTTATCTAATAGTTTGATTTTTTCTATTTTTTATGCTTATGATTCCTATTTTCTTCTACTGAATCATCAGAATCTTCGTCAGTGCTCGGATCATTTTCTATGCTTGATGATTCACTTGCATTAGATGAAGAATGGAAAGACGAGTCAGAATCAGTACTCGTTGATTCATACTTGATTTTATGGTTTGAGCAAAGTTTTTATTTTTTTCTCTCATGTTTTCTTATTCTTAGTTTAATTTTTTATTTTTCATGTGGTTCACCTATAAGTAATGATTTCATCAGTTGAAGAATCTTTAAAGTGTTACAAACCTAAAAACAGTATATTTTCTAAAAATAATAACAAAACTGACGATATTTAAACAATCAATAAAATGACGAACCCATGTTAAAGCCTAATCTACTCATGTTTAAGGTATCTGATCCATCCGAGCTACTTTCTCGTATTTTTTCTGGCTCTTCTAATATTGAGAATTATGAGTCAGAATGTTTTTCATATAAATATCCGTTGTATAAAAAATAAAATCATTTTAGCTAATATAATACCGACATTTAGATTTATACATATAACAACTGCATAAAAGTAACTTTATAATATCTTTATAAACATCAAATTCAATTTTATTAGAGGTATTTGATTCATTTGGTTTTGAAGTAGATGTAAATGTGGATTTTGCAATTGTTGAAGACAATACAGTGATATATTGTTAGATTTATTTACAAAGAAAGTATGATAAGTCTCTGATTTAAAAATGAACCATTTTTAGTTACGTCTTTCTTATACAAAACTAATATTCCATAAAAAACCTTTCTTTAGCCCAGAAATTTCAGCTTTGTCAGAAATCGATTCGATAATTCCTATATTAGCATTTTCGCTGTTGGAACTTTTAACTGTCTCTGAAGATAATATACTATAGGAAACTAAATATAAAAAACTTGGAGCATCACTGGTATTGGCTGGTTCATTATCTAAAATTTTGTTTTTATCCAAACAGTTATCTTAATCAAATAAATTACAGTAGTTCAATATCTGATAAAATAACAAAAAATATCCAGAAACAAACCATTATTCGCCTAGTAAAGATCTTCACTTTCCATAGTAATCAACAATTTGTAGATTGAAGTGATCTATAAGTTTTGGATTCTCTGAATTACATTTTTTATTTTCCAAATTATTAGCCGTATAAATCTCTCTATTTTCTGAAATATTACTTAAACGAAAGCATTAATGTTAAAAGAATGTTAAAAATTTTTTTTTTTTTTTTTTTTTTTTTTTATTGGTAAGCAATTTATTACCTCATTGCGAGATTATTATGCTATAAACGTAAATATACATATTATAACGAGCCGAGGCTCGTTATATCTCTCTCCCCTTAAGTTAATCATAATCCGTTGATAATCCATGTACTCTTTTCCTTATGTATTTTCGCCTTGCCGTAGCTGTGGACGCGGCACGAGGTAAGTCAGGGAGCACCGAGTAGAGAGAGAGAGAGAGAGAGATCCGCGTGTACGCGTGTAAGCGTGGACGCCCGAGTGTCGCGCACGTTGCCTAATTGGCTGAGACGCGCCGCTGCCGAATAGCTAGCGCGAGAGAGGGGGACCACGTCCGCGTGCGAGTTAGAATCGGCTGCCCGTCTTGGCGAAAGGAAGCAAGTTCGGCGAGTGACGCAAGAAAGAAGTGCTTTGTGCTACACGGCTCGGGTTTTTCTCTTACCAAAAAGGACTAAGGGTGCAGCGAGCGTGCGTGCGTGCGGGCGTGGGTGTGTGTGTTTGCTGATCTCAGCCGGTCAGCCCGAGAGAGCTGCCTCGTGGCCGAACACCTGCGCGTGTCAAGTCCATTGCCGAGGCCACTGCGAACTTGTCATGTAAGTGCCCGTTCGATCTTAAGACTCTCTCTCTCGCTTGCTTCTCGCTTGCCTCTCTCACTGCGAATGCTATTTGTATGCTTTCTTTGTCATCCTAGTCTTAATAAATATTCATCCTGCTAATCACTGCATCTTTGCTCTCGGCACTTCCTCCCTCCCGTGTTGCGCGCACACCGGCTTGCACCGTCCGCTGCTACCTGACTTACGACGCTCTCCGCGGGCCGAAGGCAAGAGCGCCTTCGAGGGGCATGTCTGAGCCGCTGGGCTGAATCCCGCGTGTTCCCCGTACGAGTTACCCGCAGGCCGAGTAACCACTTAGCATCACCTTTAACGGGGTAGCTGAAACCCCGTTACAATATAGAAATAATTAAGGTACAGTAGAGTATATCGATAGTGTATGCGCTTAGTATTACGTTGGGTTACATTATTGAATTGTATTTTATAATTGGAGCTTACAGTTAGAGACGAAATTGTAAACGCTAGTACACAGATCGGCAGTCGGATTGACTAACAAAGTTACGCTATTCATGGGAAGAAACATTTTTTGTTTTCGCAGATCTTTTATGAATTGTGAGCGTTGTTGATCATATACTGGACATTGCCAAAGTATATGGTCTAAATCTTGTATCGGATGACCACATTCGCAATCGGTAGAGCTTTTTATACCAATTCTCCCTAAAGAATATGCTAGATTGTAGTGTCCTGATCTGCAGCAGTTGATGGTTGTGATAATTGCTCGAGGGAGATTAACATGTGCAAACCATGGTTTGTCTTTTTCATTATGGAAGTTTTGGAAAAAGTTGATTCCTTTATTGTTTCCTTCAGTGCATAAAAATTCCCGAGTATTGACTATTGCTTCTTTCTTGAACAATTGGCGCAGATCAGTATAAGGGATTTTCACAAAGTCGGAGGGAGCAGACATAGAGACATTTTTGGCCGCTAGGTCAGCGTTTTTGTTGCCATTTAATCCGGTGTGCAAACGAATCCAGAAAAATTTGAGTGCAGAATTGGTTGGGCTCTTTAGCTTGAAGTCAAGAGCTATTTTGCGTGTTTCTAAAATATATGGATTAGTTTTGATGTCGAATTTGACATTTTTAAGTGCTAGCAGGGCGCTGAGGGAATCAGTAAAGATGTATACATCTCTCGTAGGATATCGACGGCCAAGTTTCATTGCTTCTAGTAGAGCGATGGACTCGGCCGTAAATATGGATGCTCTTTTGTCGACACTTTTGACTATTTCAATGTTTAGATCTTCGCTAATACAGGCACATCCTACCGAGTTTGAATTGTCTGACTTACTTCCATCTGTAAATATGAAGAATGGATTTCGTTCGTTTTTCAGCTTCTCAAGCTCAGAGTTGGGATCTTTGGATTTATCCAGAGTTTTTCCAAATTCAATGTTAATATCGAGATCATCGATAAGGGTATAATAATCATATTCATACAAGCCGAAGTGGAAGCTTGAAAAGACTTTGCTGTCATTTCAATTAAGGTCTTGAATACATTTGATTAGGAGACGGTCACGAAATTTGCGCTTATTTCTCGGATTGTTTATATGTTTGTGTATGTATTTGATTTTGTCGTGAACTAACAAATTTTTATTTGACATGATCTTATAGAGGTAGTTAAGGCAAAGATACTTGGTCCTATTTTCGATTGTGACTAATTTAGATTCAGAGAGTAAGATGTTTGTTGGGGTACTGATTCTGTAGCCGAGTGATAGTCTGATAGCTGAGTACTGTATTTTTTCTAAAACATTGGTGAGTTTTGCCTGCGTGGGATAGTATACAAGACATCCATAATCGATAATAGCGCGAATAAAACTTTTATACAGAGTTAGTAATGTACCAGGCTGCGCTCCCCACCAGGTACCTCGCAAAAACTTGATGATGTTTAAAGCCATTGATGCTTTCTTGTGAATTTGTTTAATGTGATTTTTGAAGTTTAGTTGGTAATCCAGGATTATTCCAAGGAAGCGAGTAGACTCAGAAGATTTTATGATCGTATCTTTAATTTTTATTTCGGTTAGGCCAGGTTTTACATGTCGATTGTTGAAATGCATAAGAACTGTTTTGCTTGGTGAAAGATCAAGCCCAAGGTTGCGCAAATTTTGGTATATAATTCCAACAGCTTTTTCAATCAACCTTTTGCAAGTCTGGAGGGGAAGCCTTTTACAATAGACTGCTAAATCGTCAGCAAATTTAGAAACAGTGACGCTTTTGGGTACATTGTTTATTATTTTAGCTATATAAATACAGAATAACAGCGGACTAAGCACGCCTCCTTGGGCAACTCCCTTATTAACAATTCTCGGTTTATTTCCTGTTAGTTCAGTATAAATTTGTCTATTTGAGGAGATAAAATTAACAAGTTTGACGAATTCTGAAGGACAACCAATGGTGGAAAGTTCTCGCAGTAGGATGTCGATAATTACGTTGTCAAACGCGCCGTCGATGTCAAGAAAAGCAGCAAGTAGGTCTTTTCTTTCGCTAAATGCATCTTCTATGCTAAGAGTTAAATTGAGAAGATTTAAAAATTTGAAAACTATGAACATTTCAATGATAATTTGATTAGTTAAATTGAAAAAAACTTACGTTCTGTTACGTTGCAGTTTTAATGTTTTTTCAAAACGACCACGTGTTAGACCGTTTTAGCTCCGAATGGTCCTGACTCGGGCGAATTGAACCTTCGGTACGGTACCCCGACCGTCTCAGCGGATGGATCGCGTTTTTGCCGACAATGTCCGAAATTCGTCCACGCGAGAGATAAGTGAGAGTAATGGGGGAGGGGGGGGGGGTGCGGTTCGCTGGATTATTAAAATGACAATACACGGGTAACATAAGATAGATTTATATATATATAGATACATAAGATAACATATCTAGTATTGATACCTCTATCGCGTTACTATCTAATTTACGATTTATTAAATAACTATTCTAAAATACGTGTTCGGTCGTCGTTACCCACCCGGTCCCGGTACGCAAACAGATGGATTCACCGAAAGGGGAACACTGAATATAGTAAGTAATTATCGAAATAAAGAGAGAGAGAAAACAAGGAAGAGATTTCGCTTTATCGAGAATAGAGCGTCGAAGTACTCACTCTGTTGTTTTGGTTCTTTTTTTTGGTTTATATAAGTCAAATTTGTGGTGTTAGCTTTATTATTTGAATTTGAAACACAATAATTAATGGCAAACTCTTTTCTCTCTTGTGCTCGGAGACTTAACTCAAGTTGAATATAAGTAATGGGTTAGATTTAATTAATTCTCTGGCGAAAGTAGTGTCCGTACTCTAGAACCGGCTAATCGCAACTCCTCGCGCGCCTGCCTCGCTGCCGCAGCCTACTCTCCCTCTCTTCTTCCTATATTACGTCTCCTCCTCATTGCTTTGTCTCTGCTGCAAAGGCTCAACAAGCGCGCACACGTGCGCTGCTGACTTCAGCAGCTTATCGCTGAAGTCTTGGCCTTGACATTTTTACTATGTGTCGAGACTTTGTTTTAATCACTGCTCAATTTCTGTCACATAACACCCTTCCCCCGTTAGGAACGTTGCCGCCCTCGGCAATGTATCAAGAGCCACAGGTTCTACAATTAATTATGAAAAATGGATTGGTAAAGAATAAATCAGTGACTAAATTAGTAAATATATAGGTCCTTTATGTCTAGTCCATTATTATAATTAATGATAGCGTATAAAGAAAGGGGTGTGTATATATATTGAATAAGGGAATAACCCGGTCCTAGATTGTTATTCTCGTTATAAATCATCCGAGATGGCCTGCGCCGTGTTGTTGGTCCCTGCCGCTGGTTCTGTAGGTCCAGCGAGGTCGATTAGTGTCTGTTCTGGTTCCATGTTACTAACGTAATCAAAGTTTCTAATACTACAGTCCTCCAGGTACTGGTCCCATTCTCTTAATTGTATAGACCTGCCGCAGAAGTAGTGTTTTTTCAAATTACCTCCAATCTGCATATCGCAGAGTAACACTACGTTCGTTAGAGGTAATCCAGTGGCCACAGAGATCGTGTTTTTCGTACAGGTCCAACGCGTTTTCGCCGTACCTTACGATCCTGGGGCGAATAAGTCTAGCTTTTAAACACTGGCTAAGCTTATTCGCGACCACCCTTTTTGCGTCGGAGGTATAAATAAATGCGACGAACCCCATTAAACCGTTTCCATTCCACATTGGTACGTAATTTATATAGTCTATAGGGACAAATTTTAATAAGGCCTTATTTGCCATTGCTTCGGTCCAATTATAGGGTAGTAAAAAGTGAAGCCTATTTAAGCGATTATGCTTAGGGCCAAGGTTTTTTGTTTGGAGGACCAGTGCGGCACTACTCAGGCCGGTATTTTGCCCGTCCTCTTCATCAGATGAGTCTGGTTCATTGGCGGCTTCCGAGAGGTCGTTGCCGTCAAATATTGCCTTCTCAAACTGATAATAAGTCGGTAATTCCTCTTCCAATCCCAGAACTTCCTTGGAAAACGGTTTTCGATTGTTGAACAACTGCTCGATTGCCACCTGGGCATGAATGGGGTCCATATAGAAAAAAACCGTGCATCCTAGGCTTTCCCTGAATTTCTCGGGAATCGCCACGTCGACTATCTTCTCCAAAGATCCATATTGGCAAGCGAGCCACATTGCTTCCGCTTTCCTGTTTGGATCCATGTACACTATTGTAAGCCCGTAGTTTTCATTAAGCATCGGCTCAACGTCATATCTGAGCCGTGGGTCCATGTTAAAGATCCTGTAAATTTCAAGTATGGTCCTTTAGAAAGATGAATGATAAGATAGAGGTAAATCGGAAGTGAAATGTACAACGAGAAGCGTTAGACGGGGTATTACAATTAGTCCACGGGTAGTATTTACAAACATACAGTTATTCAAGGTATTATCTAATCGTCGGTGCGTGTATAACTAAGATTAACAAAAGTGACAAAGATGATCATACTTAATTTGAAAGAACTTCTTTTAAGCTATAAAATATTTACTTTTAGATAACGTTTTAATATAATCAACTTTCTTCCTTTTTGCCTCATTTTATACATAAGTTTCTAAATATTCTTCCTCTTGGTCGATGTTTGTGCTTATTTCGTCTTCAGGTGGAGTATCAGCTTTGTCCATGGACTTCGCGTTTTTCGCGGGCTGCTGAATTATGGCGGTTAATTGTTTGGTCCTGGTCGAAGAGATCGATTGCGTATTTACCTTGGGTACAGGGTCAATTGTAGTATTGCTTGTGCTTACGACTATAAGGTGTGACGGTGGTCTTCTAACTTCTGATTTTGGATAACTTCCGTTAGCCTGTTTCTCCCTTATCCTTTTCTGATGCGGCCACATGCAAGTCCTGTCATGGTCTTCGTAAATCGTAAGCTCTATTTGTTCATCACATAACCAGTGGTGTTTGGTTTCATGGTCCTGATTCCAACGTCGTTTCCGTACTTGCGCGAATTCTGCGCCAGATATTGGGTCACACTCTTCTACTGCCCTGTTGGCGTCAGCTGGGTCGTAGTATTGGACGTATCCCAAAGCCAATGATCCCCTCGAGTCTTTCAATACTTTGTGATATAGTAAGGGTCCGAATTCTACGAAATGCTCGAAAAAGGCCACTTCTCTTCGATTTTCTTCGATAATCCACGGTAGTCTGCAGAATAAACGTGTGTTATCAGTTGGTCTTGGCGAAGATTTCTTAAAGACTCTGGTCCTTTCTATACGCGATGAATGTTTAGTTATTGGGTCAGGGGTCCATGGTTTAGTCCTCCTAGCTATTTTAGCATGTTCGATTTGATCGAATTTCCATAACACAACTTTTACCCTGCTATTGGCCACTTTTTCCAGTGCATGAAACTCCTGAACTGGTCCGATCTGTTTCAGTCTGCGTAGAAGTTTATTTAATAGCAGGTGGTCAGGGTAAAGAATTTTTATACTTTTAGGACCCTGTACCGTATTACTGGTTATTTCACTCATGTCGTGTTTTCTTCTCTTTTTTTTTCTGAAACAGATCGTGAGTTGGTTATATAAGTATATTAGTAGTTAAGTTAATTCTGCGATTTGGGTTTGCAGTGCAAGGGTATTGTCGTGTCGCTTTTGGGGGTTAGGTTTCGGTGTAGATGATGCTTTTGATTTTGTTTTATTTTGGTCCAATGAAGCGTCGCTTAACGTATGACCAACAGGTTTTCTTGGTTCATCCGTGCATTTAGAATCCTTCCTAGTCTTAGTCATTTTTAGACTTTGGAAAATCGATGTGGTTTTCGTGATAGGGTCTCGATTAGGTGTACGAATGTTGGGTGATTTGTGAGATGTAGTGCTATGTGAGGTCCATGTGCAGTTAGTGCACCATTTATACGCAAGTGCGATTAATAACATTATCATAATAATATTGATACTCAATCCTCCGTAGATTAGTCCGGATCAATAGGTAGTAATTTTATTGTGTTGACTTATAATTTCTGCCTTCTCCATAATATCATTTAAGGCTTTTTCTTGGCTAGTCCACATTCCAGATTGCGGGACCCATTTTTCTAATTTTATATCTGAATCGAATAAGAGATGTACGGTAGGATATAGATTCGTTAAGTTGAGGTTCAAATTTGGTTTATATAAATAAATGTTTGTGTCATCTTTTTTAGCTTCTGTTAACATAGTCGCATCGCTCGTGTATCCAATATAGCCTGGGGCGATTTTGAGTATCCCTAGCCCTTGTATGTGGATCGTATGGTCCATTCGGTTCGGACAAGCGATTCGTATAGTGTCCAGTTGATTAGCAGAGAAAATCCACGATCCGTCCATCGAAATATAATTCCAGTGCGTCGTTTCCTGACTTTTCAGTATGTGACGAGAGCAAGCAGTACGTTTGCTCCTCGTCTGCCCTTCTTCTCTCTCTCCCTCTTATCACTCGGCATGGCGACGTGGTCAGCGTTCGGCGCATATATTTATTGCGCCTAACCACTGGCCTTTATGTTTTTCCAGCCGCCGAAGATTGCCGAGCAAGATTGAGAGCGCCCGAAGAAGCAAGAGCGCAGCGACTATGAGGTAGAGAGAGAGAGAGAGAGAGAGAGAGAGAGAAAGTTAGTGAGCATGCTAGAGTGCGCGTCTATGCACGCACTATGCAGGTTTAGGCCGGCGTGTGACGCGCGACCAATTAGCGCTTTTGTCGCACGCCGCCTAATGAGTGGGCTTGGTGGGAGAGCCCGGCGAGAGCGCGAATGCTGACCATGCGTCAAGTCGCGTGAGGCAGTTCCCGGAAGAAAGTTAAGCAGAGAAGTTGGAAGTAGCAGCGCGATGAGAGAAGAAGAAACACACGTGCAGCAGTGACCAGACCAGGGCGAGCCGAAGCAACGTGTGGAGGCAACACCTGCAGCAGGGCATTCAGTGTCGCCCTCGTCGCCATGCACTGCATGACTTCCAGTGGGTTCACCACGGACTACGCCGAGGAAGACGTCCAGCCAGCGGCCAGGTCAACTCCCCGTTGCCGGCTCATCGCCAAGGACAAAGGTCAGGTTATCTCTCTCTCCCGGTATTTCTCTCTCTCATGGTGATACGCGGCCGCGTAGGAACGATAGGTAGCCAGGCGATCACTTGCCGGCTACGCTCATCGTAATGCGGTAGAGAGGTTTCGACGTATTCTTTCCTTTGTAAGGAGGTAAATGGCCAAGGCGATTTAGTCGCCGGGCCATTCGTCCTCCCGCGTTAGTTTAAGCTGTTCTGCATATGTGCGCGTGATGTAAACGTTATTGTAACTGATTTTGTATTTGTTTGTCTGAATAGATTTAAGTTGTATGTTCCAAGTAAAAAAAATTATTTATTCGTTCGACCTATCCTATCGTTCCCCGATTGTTAAAGAGCGAAAGTGCCTCTCTTACTCTCCCCTTAATAAATTAGTGACGTCAGTGCCGAATAAGGCGCTGCCCCCGTTACAAGTACTATATCACAATGGTACAACTCATGGTTGGATGGTTGTATTAGCATTTTTAATTCACAATTTTTATTCAGATTAAAATCTAGAAGGGGTTCTTTTACTGAGCATACAAAGGTATAGTGAGTTGGAATGCAATCTGGTAGAGATTGATGGTCCATTTATATATACTGTTTTAGATCCGAGCTCAAAGCTAAGTAAGGGTAATTATATTTTATATATGTCGACTTTTTTTTAGAGATCGATAATTGTGGTACTAATATAGAATGCAATCTATATAAATTACAGTAATTTCTGTCCACTAGGGGCAATTGCACCACTATACATGTCCTCCCTTCGCGATGCGATGCGTCAATTTTTGAAATTCTAACAACTTCTTCCGCTTTAAGATGCTCCGTTGTACTAGGGAAATCGAGGTCCATTACAGTATGTTTGATATCATTAGCTATTTGATGCAGCACATCAGTGTCTATTAAATCTGGGTGCACTTTTCCTTCTTTTAATGCACGGAGAATTTCTAGAAATCTTTCTAAACCTTTAATGAAATAATCTAGTCTAGATTCCAACATTCTTCCAAAAGATAGTACAGAAATCATATATTCTAAGCGTGCGTTTCTCTTTCGAATTTTTCGAATTTCTGCTGCATCTGGGTCCCAAGCTGAAAGATTTTGTCACTATGTATATCTATCATTTTGAATAATTTATTTATTCCCGTGGTAATAATGTGTGTCCTTTTATTAAAGAGATTGATTAACGATTTCTGGTCTTGGTATAATTGATCGATGTTTGCGTCTATTTTATTTGTTTCGTCCACAGTTACCAATCCAAATAAACTATGGCTTAAGCTTCCTATCCCTCCAAACGGTATTAGTCTTTTGGTCCTGATGCTTCCGTGCCCCCGAACCTTGGGTGGTTGGGTATTTCCCATGTTTCCGATTGATTCAGTAATTTCCGCTTGTAATCGTTGAAGCGTGAGCTCTTTCACTTCCAAAATATCTTTGTTTAGCATGTTGTTACACGTCATTCCATCTAGGTGTTTGGTGCAATTCCCAAGTAATATATGAAAGTCATGTATAATAGTTGTCCTGGCTAAGAAGTACTTCGTATCAACTGTAATATATATCTTCCAATCCGCTCTTTTTATTCTCATGGGGACCAATCTTTCATAATATAATCTTGGGTTTTGGCTCAAATTCTCTATTGTGTAAGCTTGGTGGTCCGTAACAGTTAATGCGAGTAAAGACCATAGGAGAAGAAAGAGAAAGTTTCGCATGTTGGAAAGGAAGAACCTAGAAGGTACGAGACAGTAAGCGTAGATTTATAACCTTAAAAGATCAAATTTAAATAGCATATAGTCAATGTCTCAAATTCAGTTTATCCACGTGTTTGCATACTTTCTTTCCATACGGAAATTCTAACAAAATATTTTTTCGATTTAAAATTTTGATAATTTTCAAAGGTTGTTTGTAGTAACTATCGGCCTTCCCTATTCGCGGTTCGTTTAGGACCCATGCGTAGTCTCCTACCTTCCCATTGAACGTGTTAGAATGTCTGTCATACCGCTCTTTTGATTTTATCTTCTCACGTATTTGATTTTCGCCGACCGCTATCTTTAATTCGGTAAGACGTAAAACAAGGTCTTTCAAATATTGATTGTATGTTCGTAATTTTTCTTCTCCCGGTATTTTCATCGGGAACTGAGCGATTCGTCCATATACTAATTCGAACGTGGTTAGCCGGTCGCCTTATGAATACTAGTATTATATGTGAAAACCGCGAACGGCGTCAAACGGTCCCAATCGTCAAATCGCTCTGAATATATACG